GCATCATAATGTCATTTCATCTAGATCATCAGAAAGAATCCCATATTCATCTCGCATTAACAGAATCGTTACACAGTGATCATAACGCACTAGAAGCATTTCATTACGAACTGATGCTGTGAGGAATAACTAGCCGAATTGTTTCAAGCTGTTGCTTTTAAGAATGTGATTTTATGAGCAAAATGAAAAACAAGATGTGTTGAGGTGACCTTCGGTTTCAGAATAAAGTTCAAAGAGATCATCGTATTCCATTGACACAACTGACGAGACTGATGACTTATGAACAGATGCGCGTGGATTTGTTGTGTTCGGTGGTGAGCAGTGACGAGAATCCGAAGCATCGACGTTACCGACGTTCACTTCTTGTTGGTCATTGGTTAACGTGAACACCGATGGTCGCACCTTTGGCACTAAACATTGCAATGCTTGTTCACATTTCGAAGTAATGCTCTTAGAACGTATTCGGACTCATATGCAATCGCTCGAATTCACTTTATGAACTCGACTGATTATTCCATAAGGGATCTATGTACTCGGATAGCAGTTCAATCTCGAACGAATCTGGCACTGAACTCAAGTGAAAATGAGCTGAAGTGAATTTTCATAATGATCAAACAGTGTCGGAAAGTGGAAATAATAACCGGTCGAAAGAGGACAATTTTCGTTGTTGGTGTCGTCTGAAGAAAAAACCGATACGGCAGAATCACAGCTGAGTCGTTGACTCGTCGGAACAAGCAAACGATTGCGAGTTTCTGACTGCTCACCCCTTCAAGTGGAATTAACTCGAAATATTCTCAGAGAAAATGATATCATTAGTTTGGAGTGCGCAATGAGTACGGCGTCTGAATGCTATATTGCGCATCATTCATCGTTTAAGTGCATTTTCTTGATGTGGAACGAAACGATCAAAAGGTCAACGAATCAATCATTTCGTGGTACTTACGGATCAGGAAGAATATTCAACCGACAAACGTCAATTGAGACTGGGAGAGATGGACGAGGAGATTGCGATTTTGGTGAAG